GTTCTACATTAAAATAAAGTTGGGTCAAACCAACGGTTTGTATTGTAGCACTTTTCCCTTCAACAAGTGAAAATTCTGCTTTTGAATACAGTCTATGTATACCTATCACACTATTAAAATTATTTTCATTCATATACAAAGCTATTTCTAGGATTGCATATATTTAGGATGATGCATACATGAAGTCTTTGAAATAAAGCAAAAATTAATATAAAGAGGGGTTAACAAAATGCTCGATTTTAAGAGTTAATTGTGCGAGTTAAGAAAAATAATTATATTTTTTAATGTCATGGAATTTACCGTTAGCTTTTTGTGTTTATAGAAATTTGAAAAAGCTTGCAGTTTCGGAAATATAAGGTGTCAAAAATTCAAATTTTACAAATTTCAAGAGGTGATAACTTGAGAGGGGGTGGAGATGGAAAAAAAATTTTTTCCAAGGAAATGAATTATTTGTTAATATTTAAAAGCCCCTAAAATTTCAAGCTTCTACAGGCTGGGGTCTAGAAGAAACACAAGTTCAAAAATTTGAAAAAAAAGACTTTAGATAACGGTAAATTTGAGCGGCCATTTTGTTTTTCTAAAGTTTAACTATAGTATACCACGATAGGGGAATCAAGCCGCTGCCTTTATGCGTTTGCAAAATTTCAAAAATACTTATGGTTTCATTGTAACAAATAGTTAAAAAAGGCCATTTTGAGGATTTTGGAGGGGTATAACTTTTAGAGGGCCCCCCCTAAATAGGTAAAAATTTTGTTCTACAGAAATAAGTTTCTAGTAAAGATCTATGTACGTACAAAATTTCAGCTTTCTATCTTCAAGGGTGTAGAAGTTTTGTAAACAGACACACGGACAGACGGACGGACGGACGGACGGACCGACATAGTGAAACTAATAAGCACTTTTTTTCAAAAATTTTTTGGAAAAGTGCTAAAAAGCAATGTGTTAAATGCTTTTGCTTATTCCGTAGGGAATTTGTTTATAATATTGGTATTGAATAAGTAATTAAGTTTCAATATATTATGTAAAGTATATGTGTATAAATATAACATAAGACGTACATATATGTATACATACGTTATGTATATATTTTTTTAAACATCATGTATGTTGTGTAAATAATTTGTGTTTAAATAGTGTGGACCGAATGTTAAAGATAAGATAAAATTTTTCTTATGATTGCACTGGCACGACTTTAACCGAGCAAAAGTAAATTAAAACTCTAGATTGTAAAATGGCACATTTCCTTTCAACAGTTTAAATTTTGTATTTATTTGAAATTATTCTCTTATTACTATAAAATTTTACATTGATAATTTCCAAAAAAACTTATTTTAACATATAAATTATGTCAAATATTTGGTTAAGTGTTTCATAAAAGCTCGATGTAGCTTATACTGTTTAGAAACTTTTATTTTATTAATTCAAGTTGGGAAGGAAGTAACAAGAAATTTTGTTTCAGTAAAATAAAATATTTTATCAATATCTGGAAAGTGAGAAAATGTAATATAGACAGATTTGAGAAAACTGTTAAATTTACGGGTGAATTCAATTAAAAGCCTGATTAGAAGGAAATCAGGGAATATGTTGCCCGCGAAATATATTAGCACATATAAAGTGTCTTTATGGAATCAAAGAATATTTTTTGATTATTTTTAAAGCTGTAGGACAGACGCCTAAATGTGTAACGAAAACAAATTTTTTCCAATACTATTTTTTAAAAGTAATTTTATCTACATTTTGCAGAAATATTAATCAATGAAAAATATCTGAGGTACACGAGCAATATCACTGTATACAATAACACAAGTGAGATAATTGACATTTTTGACTTTGATTTTTTATTTACATATTATGTGCGTGCACGTTTAAAAGCATTAGTTCACATGTTACCATATTGCCAGAAATAGTCATATATCAATATAATTACAAACATAAAAGTAAATTACATAAAATACTTTACAATTTTAATGAGAAATTACTTAAACACTCAAAATTAGTACAATATATTTTTTCATATCATAATTTTTTGATCTCTAACTGTATATACGTATATAAACATGTTATGATTTTTACCGACCGTATTGTGTAAACAATAGGTAGGTTATGTGATGGCAACAAATTTTGCATATCGAGTTTTCGGTGGGAACGTACTTCTCCATAGTAGGGAAGTGTAAATAAACTATTTTTAGCAACCTGTCGGTCTGTCGGTCTGTCGGTCTGTGTGTGCACGCGTGTATCTCAAGTTCGGCTGAACCGATTTTGATGAAATTTTATATGTAAGTTTATTTCCACCATGGCCGTGCCATCGATCAACTTTTGGTATATATCAGGCCTCGGGAACTGCACTTTTTAGCGGGCCTGTTTTACATTTTTGAGCATATTGAAGAACATATTCAACCGATTTACTTGAAATTTCATATATAAGTTTTGCTCTTCCGGCGATGAAACCTCCTAACTTTTGGAAGAAATCAGGCGTCAGCAACTGGGCGTTTACTACGGGCCAAATATACATTTTTGTGTATATAAAGAGAAATAATCAACCGATTTCATTGAAATTTAATATATAAATTCCTCGTATGAAAACTATGAACATATAAATTTTTTGGAAAGATCAGGGCTCGAAAACTGATTTGCGGGCCGATTTCACATTTTTCACCATTTTGAAGAAAATATTCAACCGATTTACTTGAAATTTCATATATAAGCTTTGTTTGACCGTCCGTGAAAATTCCTAGCTTTTGGAACAAATCAGGCATCGGCAACTGGACGTTTACTACGGGCCAAATATACATTTTTGTGTATATAAAGAGAAATAATCAACCGATTTCATTGAAATTTAATATTTGAATTCCTTGTATTAAAACAATGAACATGTAAATTTTTTGGAAAGATCAGGGCTCGAAAACTGATCTGCGGGCCGATTTTACATTTTTCATCATATCTACGGAACGAATTGATGGAGTTTCTTGAAATTTGATATTTGAGTTCTGGTTGTTACCGAAACTAACTGGTGAGCCTTTCAGGGAGTTCGGGTAGCACAAAGCGAAACTCTACTAAGAGCCAAATTTATATTTTTCTAAGTATGTTAACTATAAGCTTACTAATGTCCTAAAAATTGGAAAGAAGTATTTAACAGACATTTCTATAATATTCTGTAACACTTTCACTTAACTAAACAATACACATTGCGGTCGGTTATGTGCTGACCACATCAGATTTTTTTTTATTACTTTTTGGCTAGTTCAAGTCTTCATTTTTTCTGGTTAAGTAATAATTATCGGAAAATAAGTTCAACGCACATTTAAACGTACTTATAGCGGTATTCTTTAAATTTTGAAAGCTTTAGTCCATCTTATCTTTTGAAACTCAAGTTTCGTATTATCAATAAAATACAATTAATTAGAATTTTAAAACTTGAAACGATAGCAATAATAATATACTTTACACTGAAAATTCTTTTGACTGTGTACTTCAAATGATTCATGTGAGGCTTGTTGAACAATTAGTATTTTAGTCTACACACTTTTTAATTTATAAATTTAATTATGTGTAATTAAATTTTTTTGAAATTGTTTTGAATGTTGAAGAATATTGTACATGTATGGGTTTTTATTAGAATGTAATATTTTATATTTTAGAATACTTGTTATGTCCAGTAAAGTGCGGTTTGACGACACTAAAATGACAACTGAAACTAATATTTTAACTAATTGTCAATCTAGCAGAAGTATGATTTTTTCAGTTTAAATACTAAAACGGCGCTAAAAGAAAAATTGTATTATAAGAACTATTGCAAAGGAAAAAAATTTCAGTTCTGTATGAATGCAAGTTTTGTATGCAATAAAAAACAAACTCTATTTATGATTTCTTACCCTTTGTGTTTACACTCAAACCGTGGGCACTTATTTCCAAACTCACGTACGAGATTTCTTTAATGAAAAAAATCTACAGAAAATATGGAATGATTAATTTCGATTTTCTTAAAAATATTTTTGATATGTTTAATAATATTTCTTAGTTCTGTTTAAACTTTAAACTTTCACTCCAACATATACCCCAATGTCCTACTTCTAAGGTTGAAATTTTTAATAATTTTATAAGTTGCCAAAATAGCAACATGTAACGTATTGAAAAAGAGGCAAAGGCAATGGTTTTGTTCCGTTTTTGCAAGTACGTTCACAAAATATTTTGTTAAAATTTACTACACTCTCCTTAACCCGAATATGATAGACAATTATTTCAAAATTTTATGATATTTGTCTAAAATATGTTTTGAATATTGTAGCAATATAACAAGAAAGTTTTACAGAAGGCAAAAATTTTGTTTTAAAAAACTCTTTGGGTTATAACTCTCATATAGTTTTATTTAATTGGGTCAATTAATACTTTTCAAAATATCAAAATTTTTGCTCTTAGTTTCATCTTTCCTTACATATCGTGAGGTTAATGCTACAACTTGATAATACCAAAACTAAATATCTTACTAATAAATTATTTGTTACTGCTAAATCTTTAAAAGTCAATGTCTCTAAACCAATAGTTGCAAGTTATCTAGTTGTAGCATTAACCTCACGATGAACTCGTTTTTTCTTCAATTCGATTTTAGATCGAAACTGTGAATAATAATATAAAAATTTTAATTCATTAAACGGTTAAAATTGGCAGAATGAAAAAAGAAACTGTGATCTATTATTATTAAAGATATTTTATACCAAGAATTGTTACTAGATTGCATGTCTGTACTTATATAAAATTTCGCAGAATTTCAGCTTAAACATCTTATAGTTTTCTTAGTTACTATATTAAATTTTAATTTATCAAAACTTTTATCTTATCTTATTTGGTCGGTAACTTCAACTTTTTGATCTTATCAATTTTGATCAAAACTTATTAAAAACACGACAACAAAAAGTATTTAACAACTTAACATTTGTATTTACAAAAATTATTTTGTTTTTTTTTTTAAGTAATAATTAACCGGCATTCAATAATTTTTGTATAAAAAAAGCTTACAAATATTTTATAAATTTAATTCCAACTCGAAATTCAAAGCAAGAGTATTCAATCATTATTTCGATATTTCAATAAAAAATATGGCATTTTTAAAAAATTTATACCTCTTCTTAGCTTCTATAGCTATTTGTTCGGTAAATGGATTCCACAATTCAGCAATTTTAACTGATGTTGGAGAAATACGAAATACGACAAATGGTGTATGGGAAATAACCTGTAAAGTTTTAAGTTCTCAAAGAAATGTTATATATAATATAGAAACACAGGGTTCAGAAGGTAAGATGAAAAGTTAAAAAAAAACATTATATCAAATTTTTTACACTGTTTTTATATTTTATATTATTTATTTTTCAGTAAGATACAATTCCACTGATAGTTATCCATATTATATGTACATAAATTCAAATGACCTACATTACTATTTTAGTATAAAGAAATTTAGAAGTTATTATCAAAGTGAACCAGTTGTGTTTAGTATATCCCATGCGGAATCAAATACTAATATTACTTTTGAAATACAAGCAACAAATGTAACATTACGTTTCAAAAATTCAACAAATGAGTATAATGATTTCGTGGATCATAAATATGTTATATTGCCATTAGATTCAAAAACTGGTTTCTATATACAACAATTTAAGAATGATATGATAGGTTTAGGTCACACTTATTACGGTCGTCTTATAACTGCTTTCGTAAGAAATGCAACTTCGGAATTACAATTGAAAATACATAATCAATTTTCTGCTCCTGCAGAATGGTACTTGAATTGTAAGTATAATAAAATAACTTAAGATACCTATATTTTGTTTTTATAAATTAAAATTTTATTAAAAATGTATACATATATATTTTTTGTTAATTTATAGCAACTGAAAAAGCAATGGAACGAATTCATGTTGATAGATATAATACATACTGTTGGGATTCATCAAATAAAACTAATAACGATACCGGTAATAATAATAAGACCGTAACAGATTTTACAATAATGATTGATACACAATATAAATTTAATCAAACAATGATGTTAGATTTATACAAATTGAAATTTTTGCAAGATAATGAAGTAACCAAAGAATATCTTACTGAATATTTCTCTGATATTAAAGACAATTATATTATGAGTAAGGAATTGCACAAAAAAATCTTAAGAAGTAATCGTTTAAGCCGTTTCGAAATTACTGTTAAAAATAAATATTTAAAAAATAATGTTTTCCTACAAATTAGAGAAATGTATTTTGAACTTGTCAAATCAATTGAATTTAATTTGAGTAAATTCAAATAAGTAGAAATGTGTGTACGCAATATGCACTAAACACTTTATGTAAAAAAAGATGAACAAAATTTTCAAAATTATATTTTATTGTGAAATAAAAGAATTGTATAAGAAAATATAAAAATAATGAAAAATTTAAATAATTTTATTTTGTACAACTTAGTGTTTTTGCATAATAATTACAACTAATTTGATTGTGGCAACTGGTAAACTCATTTTACTATTAATGTACATATATAATAATTTAATATACAATAATTTAAATTGATATTGAACCGCTTGTCGATTAAGTTTCGAACGAGGAACTTTTAATGGAATCCGAATTTTTTAAAATCTATTTTTTATTTTCTAAAAAACAGTGGCAAAAGAGAATTAAAAGTATGAAAAATTCCATTTTTCGACTATTTGTAGCATCGCAACCGCAACTATTTGTAGCATCGTTATATCTCCATCTAATGCGACGCCCCTGCAAAATGTGGCAATGGCAAAGCGGTTAATTTCAATGATCATGCATCTTAAAACCATTTCTCATAATTTTTTAACATAATTTTTTCTCTTAGGTGGAGGATTGTAAGAGTTTCAAATCTCAAAACACTTCTATACATTATAAAAAGTTAACAAAATTTCAATTCCCAACATAACACAGTTTTTTGAAACTGTGAACTCTTCGAAATTTGTACTAGCAAAATAGCTTTGTTCTCATCCTGAAAATATGCAATAATTTTAAAATATTTTCGTGTATGTATTAATGCAATATAATAATACTATCAAAGATATCAAGTTGTTGTTAGTTTTTAAAGTTTTTCCATTAGTTGTTGAAGAAAATTGTAGTATTCAGTATTGTTATGATTCGAATTTATTTAATTTTTTTTGAATATCTATTTAAGAAATAATATATTTTATCATAATATTCCATAATATATATTACTCATAATATTTTTTGAGGGGCCTCATTTTACACCTGATAAAAAGAATATCAAATAAATAAGTTTACTTGTTGTATACTAAACTAAAAATTAAGAAATTATTGGTTTTGTTGGCAAAATATACGTTGAGTTAATTAATTAATGCTAGAGCGTTACTAATACTACTTATGATTATTTTATTACATAATTTGTTTAAACAAAAGTCAGAGAATTAAGTATAATTTTTTAAGTTTCATTTGAATGTGAATGAATTCCCTTCTCTTCTAATTCAATAGTTCTCCAAAGACGTAAAAGTGAAAGCATATGGAGTAGCAATTTACTTAAAGAAATTTAATATACAATAAAAAAAAATTCCCGAACTTAATTCGCTTTTCTGGCGTGGCCTATGCGTACTACAATACAAAGAAACTTTTAAGGACACAACGAAAAAATTATGGAATTGGCAACAAAAAAAACATTATATTGTATGCGTAAGTTTTAATGTATGCTCGAAAGTGTCAATTTAATTTGGCTCTTTGTTTTTACCTTTATGCGAAAGAAATACAAATAGAAGTTAACATTTAAAATCAATTGTTGAATTGAATACTAAGATTATATTTAGATTAAACTCATGCGTATACACACAATATGACGAAGCAATTGACTTTAAAATTAAAATAATTTTGAAATAAAATATACAGATGTATGTACATATACTTATACATATTGTATTAAAGTGAATAAAATAGTTAATCGAAATAGTATATTCATGTTGTTCCCTGGCCCTTAATGCTCAAAGATTTAAAGAAATTTTTAGGAAGGAAATGCAGGTTTTACGTGACAAAAAATAAAAAAAAAATTATGACTTTCCTGTCAAATCCTGAATTCTTTTCTTTTTTTTTGTGTTTATGAGTACACCTTAGTGAATCAAAAACTTTAATAGCAGCTAACAATAAATTTAGTTTTTCTTTCGTCTTTCGCTTTACATTATAAAATAATTTGTTTAAAGTAAATTTAATGATTAAACGGATGAACGAGCTTTTGCTTTGTTAAAAATTCAAATTTTTATTTTTAGTAGAATTACCAAACAAATTCCGGAATCAAATGGGAGAAAATAATTTTTTTTGAAAATTTTTTTGAAAGAATTTTTTTAATACCTCCTCCAAAGCAAGGGTAATGTGAACCAAGTGAAGTTATTAGAACAAGTTTATAGTTAGAATTGCTTTTATATTAACCTGATGACTGTCATTAGAATACGAAATTTTTTGAATTCATATAAGTATCATTTATTAATAAAGTTGGGTCAAACCAATGGTTTGTATTGTAGTACTTTTACCTTCAACAAGTGAAAATACTGCTTTTAAATACAGTCTATGTATACCTATCACACTATTAAAATTATTTTCATTCATATACAAAGCTATTTCTAGGATTGCATATATTTAGGATGACGCATATATGCAGTCTTTGAAATAAAGCAAAAATTAATATAAAAAGGGGTTAACAAAATGCTCGATTTTAAGGGTTAATTGTGTGAGTTAAGAAAAATAATTATATTTTTTAATGTCATAGAATTTACCGTTAGCTTTTTGCGATTATAGAAAAAGCTTACGGTTTCGGAAATATAAGGCGTCAAAAATTCAAATTTCACAAATTTCAAGAGGCGATAAGTTGAGAGTATAGTATAGTTGAAGTATAGTATGCCGTGGTAGAAGAAGCAACCCACTGCTTTTCTGCGTTTGTAAAATTTGAAGAATGCATATGGTTCTACTACAGTAAGTATTTGAAAAATGGCATTTTTAGGGTTTTGGGGGGATATAACGTTTAGAGGGGGGAGATATATAAAAATTATGTTCTACGGAAATTAGTTTTAAATTATTAGTCAATTTTTCGAAAGTTTCTTCGGCCCATTTCTCCTTTTTCTAGTATAATAAATTTAGTATGTGATAGTAAAAATGTTCATAAAATTTTAGGTGTATAGTGTACAGAAGCTATTTTTCTCGTATTTTGGTTGACATACATTTACCATTATAGAATGTGATGTTTTCGATTACTAAAACGACAATCAGAGACAGTAGAGATCGACAGAGAACAAATATCTCGAAAAACAAGAATGGAAGTATTTTCCAAAAACAATGTGCCCTCAAATTTATATAAAATTACAAACACATATTTGAAAAAAGAACTCAAATACCCAACTTAAAGTGAAAATTTCAATTAGATTACAAATCATTATTAAAGTTTATGCAATCATATCGGTATTTCATTTAAGTACACCGCTACTACATTTTAAGTGATTTTGTTGCAAAAACTTGAAGACTAAGTACTACAATAGCGTTCTAAATTGACGCTATGAAATCCAAAAATAATTTTTTTTTCGATCGAATGCTTGCAAGTTTTGTTAAGAATTTAAATACTGCATCTTAATTACTGTACTAAATATAAGCGCAAACATAAAACAGACTATAATATTATTAGTAAAAATACATTCGAACAAAATCAGTGATATGAAAAGTAGCATATTTCATTTTTAGTATTTTTACTTCTAATAATGGAAATTTTATTGAATTCAGTTAGGTAATTTAATTTAAATATTTGAAATAAAATCCGAAAATTTAATTTTAATCACGAGTTTATATTTTTATTTGGGAGCAGCTCCGTTTTTTGTCATAGACAATGTTATTCAAAAATTTTATATTCAAAAGAGCACATATGCTTATATTTTTGTATATATAAGTGTACATGTATGTATATTACTAAAATATGTATACATCTAATATGCTTGTATAAACATACTTACATAATATTTGTTTTCAAAATTATCCTTTGTGTTCCCACAGTGACACTAAAATAGTTTTTTTTTTGTACGAAAGCGTTTTCTCTTGTATATTATATTTTTCTTTACTCTTTTAACGACAACCATATCTAAAATGAATATATAACAAATTCTCAGGATAATTAACCGAAAAAGAGAAAAGAAAGAGAGAGAAAACAACTTTTTTGAACTTATAAAATTAGTGAGCTTCCCAATTTTTTTTTATTTTTGTTCTTTCGTTTTTTTCGTTCTTACAATTATAACAATTCCTTTCTCAAGATAATTAATTTTTTTATTTTTGTTTTTGAATTGTACGCAAAAATTGTTTACCCACAGTATTAAACCACATTACTCTTGTAGCATATTTCACTTGGCATCGAAAACTTTCAATAAGGAAAAAAATGAAAAATAAGAAACCAAAAAGCACTCAAATAAAATTAAAGTAAACCGTTAAAATAAAATATAAAACAAAAAAAAAAATAAAAACTAAAAAAATTAAATTAAATAATTTTTATAGTTTTTATTTTTTCTTTGTTTTTCGGTTGCTAGAAACAATAAAAATTCCCAAAGGGATGAAGGTTTATTATTTTGCAGTTTTATTTGGTATGCGTGTTAAGAAAGTAATAAATTAAATATTATTTATTTATTTTTTTCTGCGTTCTAAGTAAATTAAAAGTTTTTTTGTTGCGTTAAGAATAATTTAGAACTAAAGATTCATGCCAAGCACACATATACATACATGCATGAAAATTATGCGTATTCATATAGTCAAAATGGATTTAAGTTGGAAATAAGCTAAAAATTTTTATGATTAAGATCTATTGTACTTTTGTGCGAAAGTTTTGGTTATTTCACAGAAATTAAAAAAAAAATTTAACTTACTGAACTTTCGAATATGACAAATCAAAAGGACAGGTTTTGTAGAAACCTGATTTTGTCATATCTCAATGATTTGAATGCATTTTATAATTGCATTCAATGTAATGGCTTATACCTTAAAATGATGCACATGTTCATAATGAAAATCAAAACATAGCGACGTCAAAGGTTATGTGCAGTCTTGAAATATTGATTAGCCCAAATATCTTAATTTTTTTCTAAATAAAATCTTCATTTTGAAGATTCGATAAAAAAAACATTTTCACGAAATCTTCGAGATTTTCAATTGGAATTTAATTGAAAAAACTAGGAACAATATCAAAAATTTTCTGTCATGGAATTAGCGTTACCAATGCGTTGCCTATTAAATTGACTTTTTGGTTAAAATGTTTTTTTGTGAAACTTGGAAATATGGAAAAGATGCAAAAAAACTCCAATTTTAAAAAAAACTTCAGTAGCAAAATACGGATTAATATAATCTTTAAACACATAAATCAAGTGTAAGTTTTAAAAGT